GATAAAAAGTGGCCGACTGGCACACACCAAATGTTAATTCCAACGGAAGTCTAAATCTGATGTTAGTGAAATGAAAACAGAGTAATGTTTTCTTTAAGGGAAAAAAAAATCCTGTGTAAACCGGCTTCTGTCATGTTGGCTAGGAAAATCAATTTGCAGAATGCAAAAATAGAAACATCCTGGAGGGAAAAGTCCGTAATGGTTCAATCTTAACGAAGGATATTTAATTTAACAGGGGAAACAAAGAAAACACTCAGAGAAAAAGGTAACAGTTGTGGCAGCAATGTTAATGAAAATAATCAAAATATGGATTTCTTTAGTTGTTTTTTTATTTGTTTTAGAAATTCTACTTTTAATGTACTTGTCTGTAGATTGTTTTGTTTTTTTGGCTCTGTATCGACACACCTTCACGTCTAATTCTCTCCCTGATTTTTCCATTAAGTCTTCTTCCTGTTGCATTCAGTCGTTCTCATCGGCCTTTATCTCTTTATGTTAGTCACGGACGATTCCTCACGTACACAGTGACTCTGAGCTCCCCGCCACTGTTGTTGTGTTTATACCACGCACAGCCAGTGAAGAAGAATTTCCTCACAATTAAACCTAACTCTAAGATGCAGCCTATTTAACTGCAGCGGCAGGGCTTGACTTGAACTTCTGACACAAAACCATTTTCACGTCCAAATGCATTTTGCCGGCTGCAATTTGCAAACTGACCAAGGGTAAAATTAAGAGTTTCAATCCATGAGCGGTCAGGGCACCATCACCAGTGGCACTTAGAGACACAAGTGAATGTGTTTGGTTTTGATTCAAGCCTCTAGGCAGATCAGTCTACAAACCCTGGCCTCACTAAAGACCCTTAGAAAACAACAGACCTGAAGGNTTTTTAGGTAGCACAAGGGAAACTTGAATCTCAATTAACTTGGTGTAAACAGAAGGTTATGTCCACATACTTTGGAGAAGTTCATCAAATAACATCCAGCACTGGGCTAATAAACCTCAGGTGCCCTAAAGGCCACCGTGTTTTCTGCACAGGCAATAAGGAGATTTAATCAATTCTAAATCCTCCCAAAATCCCCATCATCTATGAGTCTAGACTCTTATGGAGTGGAGTTAATATCACAGCTGTTGAGTAAAAAGACAAAGTAAACTGGCACTCTACGTCCGATCACCTCAAAAAACTCATGGACTAAAGTTTGGGTTCAGCGAAAAGATGTCCCTGATTGGATGAGGAATTTATTTGGAATTCAAATTAAATCAAGTCTTTGACTACTATCACATACTGCTTCTCTACTACAGTCTTTCATATACCACCACATTAAGAAACTACTGAACAAATCCTACTGTTGTACCTCAGCAGTTATGACAGAATGGGAGGACAGTACCTGTCCAGTGCGATGCAGCACAGATGCAGTATGGACGCTGTGGTCAGCAGGACGTCCAGTGACGTCCGGACCAGACAGAAAGTCTCTCCGTAGATCCAGTGCTGGTGGACCAGCTCAATGGCACCAAAGGGCATCACTAGTACAGACACCAGTAGGTCGGCAAACGCCAGAGACACGATAAAGTAGTTGGTCTTGATTTTCCTGGTGGAGAAAGAGCAGAAACACGTCTCTGTTAGGACCAAAGGACAGGAGGAAGCTGTTGTTAAAAACACATTTAGGTGGTTAATGATCTGCTCAGTAAATGGTGATTTTTATAATAGACAAATTAAGAGTCTAATCATGCAGGCTGAGCCTGTTTTTTGTTTAGGTTCTGAGGAATCAGGCAGCAGTAGTTGTCAGTCTCCTGCTGCCTCATTTATAAAGTTTGTTATTGGTAACAACTTCACTAGTGTTTGAACTTTATTTTTATCATTTTCTTT